AGACATCTTGGTTCGGCGCTGCTCATATTAAACCAAGCAAACTTTTCTGCATTACATGGAATTTGCCATTCAAAGCCATAAAGTGTTTACGATAATTGTATTCGGTTTTCTTTAGACCTTAGAAGATTAAAAATTGTGTTGCTGAAAACTGGAAGATTTCTGTTATTTGTGTCTCTTTGCTTGTTGGCTTGGCAGTCAAGACAGCAGCATAATAATGGCTCCTCCATCTGATCCCAGCAGCTGCCTGTGGTGGATTCATCTCCAAACTCAATGGCTCCTTCACTAGTCCAGGATGGCCGCAGGAATACCCACCTAACAAGAACTGTGTGTGGCAGCTCATTGCCCCAGTGCAGTACCGCATCACTCTGCTTTTCGATGCTTTTGAGATCGAAGGGAACGATGTAAGCTGACTATGCTGGAGACTGTGTGACTTGTAACAAGGTTGCCAAGACCAAATAATCTTTTGACCACAGTGACAATGTAATGAGCTCCTCTGTTCGCAGGTTTGTAAATATGATTACGTTGAAGTACACAGCGGCCTGTCCACAGATGCAAAGCTTCATGGGAAATTCTGTGGCACAGAGAAACCAGAGGCGATCACGTCCCAACTCAACAGTATGCGCGTTGAGTTCAAATCAGACAACACCGTGTCCAAGAGAGGCTTCAAAGCTCAGTTCTTTTCTGGTGAGAATGACCTGCGATTGTCCTTTGCATCTTGCCGATAATCAGCTAATGAACAATATTCATATGTTTCAGACAGACTTGACTTTTTTTTCTGACAGAATCCTGGGTTCAATACAAGTAAGCTCAGAAAGTAATGTCATTCTGTCCTTCTGTCCAACAAAAATCACATTTACAGTAATTCACATACAATGGAAGTCTGTGGGGATGTGCAGAACTGTCAAGGTTCCTTTAATAGCATGCATGAATGTTGTAGACTCCCGTTTGACTGTTATATATGCAGTTGGGCATATTGTGTCAATCAGCAGACTAAATAATAATGTACTTCCTCTTTTTCTCTGGCAGACATGGATGAGTGTTCTAGGGAGAATGGAGGTTGCCAGCATGAGTGTGTGAACACGTTTGGGAGCTACAGCTGTCAGTGTCGCAGCGGCTTTGTGTTGCACAGCAATAAACATGACTGCAAAGAAGGTTTGGCTTCACATCACATTACCAATCATTCCTGTATTGGAAAATATTTGTCATGTGTGAAATAAACTGATTAGAAGGGTAAGAAAACAATTATTTGGTCAATCTAAAACACATTGATGTTTTGTGAAGGCATTAATTTGCATTTTAACACAAAATGTCAAAATTAAATACTTCAAAGCTCTATATTCTTTTTGAAGTGATACAGATACTGATACAAAGGTTTTTTTTATTTTATTTTTTTTGCAAAGTGCAGTTTCGTTATTGCTCCAAGGCTGCCCTGCCCTGAGTGCACAAAAACACTTCTTTTTGCTTTTTGTAAACTCATTAAACCTGAATTTGAAAGGGATATTTTTACCCCGAAATAAGTAAATGTCACTGTTTGCTCACCCTCATGCTGTCCCAAACCCATTAAAACTTTGGTTAATCTTCAAAACACAAATTAAGATATTTTTTATGAAATTTGCGAGGTGGTGTCTGTCCCTCTTTTGACCCTCTATTATCCAGGTAAAGAAAAGGCTAAAAGATCCAAATAGGTCATAAAGGCATTGTAAAATGAATCCATATGAATCTCATGAAATATTTTATATGTATTTTATTTAGATTTAGATTTAGAATTATGAAAATAAGACATAAGCTTATAGAAAATATATATTTTAATGTGTCTTACTCTTTACAGCAATCCTAATTCTGGATTCCCAGCAATCATTTTTATCTTGGATTTGTGCTTTTAGTGGGCTGTGATCAGGTCATTACCAGTGTTTCCGGTATCATCACAAGTCCAAACTGGCCAGATAAATACCCCAGCAAGAAGGCCTGCACATGGACCCTATCCACCACCCCAGGCCACCGCATTAAACTGGTAATTGCATCATTCAGCCAGACAAAATGAGTGGTTAAAGATAGAGCATACACTGGTAATCAAAGCAATGGTTAAAACCAATCCACCAGCTCAAATTGCATTCTCTCTATTCACAGGCTTTTGAGGAGATAGACATGGAGGCTCATGAAGAGTGTGCTTATGACCACTTGGAGATATATGATGGCCCAAATGGCAGAGCAACCAGTTTTGGTCGCTTTTGTGGGAGTAAAAAGCCATCGCCTGTCATTTCCAGTGACAATAGCATGTTTCTGCGGTTCTTCTCGGATAACTCGGTACAGAAGAGGGGTTTTAAGGCCTCTCACTCAGCAGGTATTTTTTTGTGTGGTCCTGAGGTTCTCCATAATGAACGTTTGATTTCAGTTAACGATAATCGCTCTTGTTCTCAGAGTGTGGCGGTAGTCTGAAGGCAGAGATAAAGACCAAGGATCTGTATTCCCACGCACAGTTTGGTGACAACAACTATCCCGGAGCTTCAGACTGCCAGTGGGTGATCTCAGCGGAGAAGGGCTACGGGGTGGAGCTCATCTTCCACACCTTTGAGACTGAGGAGGAAGCTGACTGCGGCTATGATTACGTGGAGCTGTTTGATGGTGCTGATGTCAAAGCGCCCAGGCTGGGACGTTACTGTGGGTCTGGGGTAAAGCAAAAACTTAAGATCTTTGTTAAACATAAGCAATCATTATGCTTAAAAATGTCTATACATTTTACAGTACAACAAATTATATGTCTCAATCATTTGATCATTTATAGCCGCCAGAGGAGGTCTACTCAGCTGGTGATGCCATTGTCATCAAATTTCACTCAGATGACACCATCAACAAGAAAGGTTTCCATGTTCGGTACACAAGCACCAAGTTCCAGGACACCTTGCACACTAGTAAGTGAGTTCATCATGACAGAAGCGCTCTGGAGAACATAGCACCCAGGGGCCTCTAATACCTCCTGCGCACCTGTGTTAGTGATGCCACCCGAGGCCCCATGTTCCCTCCCCTCCAGACTGCAAAGAAGAAGACATAGTGGTACCAAACCCCTTTGAAAAGCTGGGAGGACAAGCTTGATGTAGGGATATGGCAACATAATTTGCCTTGTCGTACTTCAAAGGATCCATTGAAAACTCTATAGGAAATGGAACATCTGAGTGGCAGATATTATCAGTATGAAGAACTTTGTTGACTGCAAGTCAAGGAGGAAGGATAAATTAGATTCAACATGTCCCTGATGCACTTTCGCCTCCTAGAGATCTCTTCAGTTACTCAAAGGCTAGAATCTAAAAGACTTTTAGATGATTATTTTATTATAAAAGGAAATAATGAAATGCACAATCATAGTTCTTTATTGCCACACATCTAGTTGGCGGTAATTGAGTTTGGAAATATATAAAATATCATTCAATGATAATTACAAGGATTATATCTTATGTAAAAAGCAATTCTAGCACTATTTCTTACACGAGAGTTGTACATGATTATTCAGACTACTAGACTTAAATTATATGACATTAAATTGTCCACCTGAAGCAATGAGCTGTAAGACAAAAATGTTAATGCGACTAATAAACATATGAGATGACATTTATTTTATCGTTCTTTTGACTGTGTATAAAATGAGCTAGGATTGAGTGGTATATAAGTACACAGAACAAACTTTATCAGAAATCTTGGTCTTTCGTAAAGACGTGTTTGTAATGATTAGTTTATGGTAGTCCTGAAACTTTAACCTATTATAGTCCAATGTGTAGTAGTGTGCCAACCTGGCTAACAACAAATTAGTTTGTTTATCTTCATGATCTGTTAATGTTTTTGTTTCCTAGCTTGGTCAGGCTGGTCTGTTGGCTAGTTTTAAAGGGATTTCAGACACATTTAAGCTTATCAGCATAACCATATTAGACATGTAAAATCTTAAAATGTCTTTCAATCCTCTCTTAAAACTCACTTTTTTAGACTTGCTTTTCTTTTATATATACAGGTGCATCTCAAAAAATTTGAATATCGTGAAAAAGTTAATTTTTTGTAACTTATTTCAAAAAGTGAAACTTTCATATATTCTAGATTAATTACATGTAAAGTAAAACATTTCAAATGTTTTTTTTTTTTTTTAATTTTGATGATTAGAGCTTACAGCTCTACTCGGTCAAAAATCCAGTATGTCAAAATATTAGAATATTTCCTAAGATCAATCAAAAAAAGTTCAAGGAAAAAGTTTTTTCTAAACAAAAAAGTTCAAGTTCTTTAAAGTATGTTCATTTATGCACTCAATACTTGGCTCCTTTAGTACAAACTCCAGCATCAGTGAGGTGTGGCATGGAAGCGATCAGCCTGTGGCACTGCTGAGGCACTATTGAGCCTTCAGCTCGTCTGTATTGCTGGATCAACTTGAGATCAGGGGAGTGAGGTTTACCTGCACAGCACCTACCCGCTGGCCTCCGTTACATATATATATCAGAGTTACTTATTGTGCGGTGTAAGCTTCCTAAAAGACTTAATGACTCATGCCACTTGTTGGGTAAGTCAATGTGTCTAATAATTATAAAAGTTGGCGAAAATTAGAAAACTAGATGCTGATTCAGTCAGTCAGCGTGGGTAGCTCGCTCTTTCCGTGAGTACAATTGCACCATATTTTGGTTAGTGATGGTAACTGCATTATTCTTACGAAGTTAAGAGACGGGAAAGATTTTGTTAAATATTTACCAGACAGTAAAAATGAAGCAGAACATTTTGTTGGTGTTTTTTTTTTTTTTATATAATTTCTTTCATGGATTGTACATGTTTGATATTAAATAATTAGTCTTGTAGATTTTAGACTATAGACTGCCTATTGTCCTATCCCAGCGGTTCTCAAACCTCTCCATGAAGTACCCCCAGCACTGCACATTTCATATGTCTCCTCTCCCTTATCTAACACACCTGATTCAACTCACCAGCTCATTAGTGGGGACTGCAAGACCTGAAGTGGGTGTGTCAGATATAGGGAGACATACAAAATGTGCAGTGCTGCTGGGGGTACTTCATGGAGAGGTTTGAGAACCACTGACTTAGCCTAATGTGATCTCTTGTGTTTTACAAGTGTATATTTTCTCTTTCTCTGCGGGATTTGAATAAGGATCGTGTAGACAGTGAGGTCCGTAACACATGTGTCAGTCAGCATTCCCATTTATCTCGGTGACAGTGGAAGTATGCTTGTGTCCATCTTTGGTCACTAATAACTCTTTTGATTGGCTGATGGCGCAAGAACATGCATAAACCCCTCACTAGTGATAGTCCTGAGATGTGACGTCAAAGGCAGCATATTGAGGAAAATATAAGTCCACTTTCAGGATCATCTAAAAAAACATCAGTTACTGGTTAAACATCCTCTATACTGAAATATTTTATGTATATTTTATGATTATATGTTGCTTGCTAAAAATATAAAAATACACAGCCAATTTTGAATGGCTGTCAATGGGGGGAAAAAAAGCTTTTTGCTTTCACAACAGTGTAGTTACCACATCTACCAGCAGGGGCTGGCTTGACCATGCTGACCAGCCAAATCCTCACCCCTTTGTTTATAAAATCGAATATCACAGAAACGTGTAGAATATATGATATCTGCCAGGTAATGGGGTAACTTATGCCTGGTAGTCTAAAATAAAATCCTTTAACGTGGGAAAGGGTCATAAGCCATGGTTGCCAACCATTTTTGAAGATTTTGTTTCATCTTCATGTGCCTCCACTAACCCACTGTAATGTTAAGATAGTATAGTCATATGCAATTTTGCATATGTCATTTTTTTAAAGTTTTTTTTTTTTTTTGGAAATGGCAAGTCTCGGAAACAAAAAGTCTTAACTTAAAATATCCAGGTCCAGCCTAGTGTTTATATAAAAAATAAATATTAATATTATTAAAGAAAACATGAAAAAAAAATCAGATTTTAGGTAGGAACACTTTAAGAGGCTCATTTTCATGCACTTTATCCAGGAAGCCCAGGTTAAAATAAGGGTAGAGGGTCTCGGCGAAGATGTCCTTGAAGGTGTAGAGGTGCGTCATGCTCTCTGCATTGTAGAAGGACACCAGGCCTCTTTTGTAGTCCAGATACACGCCGATCCTCGCCAGTGGCTCTTCCAAAGACAGCAATGTTGGTGGAGACGTCCCGGCCATATACTGAACTCCATACGATAGTGAGAGCGTCCAGAAGCCATTGGCAGGCATGGTATTGATGACGCCTTTTCTCGTGACGGATTCACGAGCGACTCCCACGGTCCACACGGTGCTGCTGTACACCTCCACCTCCCAGTAGTGGCGGCATTTAGTGAACCCTTGACTGCCCAAGAGAGACAGCGCGGCATTGAATCGCTGTGGATTGTCCTGCACCACGTTGTTAAAGGTCTGGTAGCGCACACAGGTAAGCGAAGATGTAAGACTGAGCCAGGGGTTGGCTGTTTTGGAGTTAAATGTGATGGCTGAGGGAACTAGAAAGGGAACAGTGTAGCAGAGAAGAGTTAGTTCATGCATTCCATCAATTAAAATTGGCTGTAAATTTATTTACCCTCTGGTCATACAAGATGCAGATAAGTTTGCTTCTTCAACTGAACAGATTTTGAGAAATTTAGCATTAGATCACTTGTTCACAAATGGATCCTCTGTAGAGGATGGGTGCCGTCAGTTCAAACAGTTGATAAAAACATCATAATAATCCACAAGTAATCACATGACTTCAGTCCATCAATTACTGTCTTGTGAAGTGAAAAGCTGAATGTTTGTAAGAAAAAAAAATCATCATTAATACATTTCTAACTTCAAACAAACTCCTGACAAAATTATGAAACTATAATCCATAATAATTCCATATTTTGCTTTTATTATTTTGGATTTTGGTCTGGTATTTTTCCTGGAAGTGACGGTTGAAAGTTAAAAATGTCTTAATGGTAGATTTGTTTCTTACAAATATGCAGATTTTCACTTTACAAGACATGGACTGGAGTGGTGTGGATTACTTGTGGAATATTGTTATGTTTTGATCAACTCTTTGGACTCTCATTCTGATGGCACCCATTCACTGCAGAGGATCCACTGGTGAGCGAAGGATGTAATGCTAAATGTCTCCGATTGTGTTTCAATGAAGAAACAAACTACATTTTTAATGGCCTGAAGGTAAAACATGTTCAGCATTTTTGGTTATTCCTTTATTGGAGGTTAGTCCTTTAATGTTTATTTACACAGCTTGATTCAACATGTGAAAATTCACATTTAACTTAATTTTTCATTTAGGATCATTCTCAAACCTGGATAGATGCTTCCCTTCAGTGACTTCCACACTCTGTACTGCAGGGGCCCAGCAAAGCGGCCCTCACACAGTCTGGGTGGCGTCAGCGCCGGCTTCTCAAACTTCGGTGGCTGCCTGCTTGAAACAACACAAGCCCAGACACAAAAATAACTCAAGCACTTCCTCGTGAAAATATTAATTGTAACAGATCCATAGAGGTCTCTCACCTTTGAAGCAAGCCCTTTATACTCTGCAAAAAAGACAGGAAAAAGGAGATTGATGAAATTGGCTCAGTTCGAGAGGCAGGGACAGAAGTTTTCCACATGAGATCAGTGTTTGAAACTAAGCTACACCTCCTTTTTTCATCCACGACTCTGGAAAATCCCCTTCTGCTGCACTAATGGCATTATCTTCCTATTGCAAGGGTGAGATCATTACATTGTATCCTGTGTTGACCCAAGTGATATCCCACAGAGCTTTCTGTTAGCAGTTAACTATTGAAGTGATTATTTAACGGGGTCATATAATGCGATTTAAATTTTTCCTTTCTCTTTGGAGTGTTACAAGCTCTTGGTGCATAAAGAAGATCTGTAAAGTTGCAAAGACTAAAGTCTCAAATCCAAAGAGATATTCTTTATAAAAGTTAAGAGTCGGCCACCACCTACCTAAAACGGCTCGTTCTAACGCGCCCCCACATACCTACGTCACTATCTGGGAAGATTTGTTGCCGCCGCCGCCATGTCGTGAAGGCGCTGTGTATTTCGTTGGGAAAGCGAAACTACTTTGTTTGGCCTTCCAAAAGAGGACGATATTGCTTCGTCATGCCTGGAGCTGATCCGTGCTGGTCGCTGAGGAAATACTTCAACTTCGTCCAGCCCAGGGTCATCACATGTGGTTGCCGCAGGCATCACAATATGGTAAGGAACGTAACATTTCCGTCACACGCTTGAGGTATTCGGCCAATCACAACGCACTGGATAGCTGGCCAATCAGAGCACACCTCGCTTTTTCAGACCGATGAGCTTTGTAAAAATCGACGCGTTTCAGAAAGGCGGGGCATAGAGGAGAAACAATAATGTACAGTATGTGGAAAATAATGTGTTTTTTTAACCTTAAACCGCATAAACACATTACACCAAATACACCAAATAATGTTATTTTTAGCAGCATCATATGACCCCTTTAAGATATATTATATGTAATATATATTTTCTTTTCAGATTTTAAATGTATAGTTTTTACATCATTAATACATTACTTCAAATGTTTAGTATCATTTGTATGATTATATTATATACAACATTTTCATTGCATCTCAAGAATTATAATGCAATTAACTTGCTTTAAAGGGTCGTTCACACAAAAATCACTGGAGGTCTGAAAGTCTCTGTGCAACTGATTGTAAGTAGGCATTCCTCCTCTACTGCAGTATCCAACTGTATCTGGTGCTGGATTACACAAGCGTCTCTTCATGCACACCCGTTGCCAACAATCTGACGCTCTAGTTTTGCCTCAAATCACCACCTCCTACTGAAAATAAAAGTCTTTTGGTCTCTTCTGTTCTGCAGATATCTGTCAGTGTGTGACGTGTGGCTTTGCACTTACCCTGAGTAGAGTGTAAGGATCCTGTTTCCTGAGTTTGTCCTCGATGTCATTCATAGCTCTGCGCAGGCGTGATATCTCCACACTGAGCAGGGCCTTGTGCTCATCCAGCCTTATCAGCTCTCGCCGTTCCTCCGTCTTCAGCTTGACCTGCAGGAGTTTCTCTTCCTGGTACAGGACCTGGTGAAGCTCGCTGAACTGTGCCTCGATTCTCTGCTTCAGATCTGCAGTGTGGTCCTGGGTACAAAAAAAACGAGAATATGAGGTGATGTTTTGCCTCAGAGTGGTTCTTCTTATGGCATCACTGCAAATGATGACAGACTTTTCATTTTTGGGTGGCCTATAATTTTGAACCTACAAGTTACTACTTACTGGAAAGGGTCAAGAATTGAGATGATTAGGTGTTAGTCAGTTTAGGATTAGGAATCATTTCCAATGCTTTTCCATTTAAGAGGTATTGGAGAGTGTAGTTTCTTCTTACCTTCAGTTTCTTCACCTCCTCTTCAGTCTCTCTCTCACACTCTAGAGCAGTGTTGAGCTCCTTTTGAAGAGCATTTGCTGAAGTGGTTAGGGAAGCCTGTTCATCACAAACACAATGAGCTTTCAGCTGAGCTGAGGAAGTTAGAAAACGTGTCTTTGATTCTTACCCGATATCTCTGCTGTGCATCTTGCACGCACACCAGCGTGTGAGCCCGGTGATCCTGAGAGATCCCACACACCAGACACACCAGCTCCTGGTCTTCCTCACAATACAGCTTCAGCTCTTCTCTGTGTCGGCTGCAAAGTGGGGTCGGAGGAACCGTGTCTGCTGACAACCCGGTCAGCCGACCCCCACTTTCCTCGATCCCCTGGCAGTAGCTCTCCACGATGTTGGCCACGATGCGGTTGGGTCTGTAGCTCTGGCCTGGAAAGACTTTCCGGCACTGAGGACAGGAACCAGACCCACCCTGGCCTTTTCCACGAGGGCCGCTCCAGTAACTTGTAATGCAGGCCTCGCAGAAAGTGTGGTCGCAGGGCAAGGAAACCGGGCGCTTGAACAGGTCCAGGCAGATGGAGCAGGTGAGATCCCTGCTTAGGCGCTGTGCAGAGTTCTTGGACACTCGAGGACTGATTTCAGCCCTCAGTTTTTGCGTGTCCATTTTGTCCTGTGGGGGAAGATTGTTGGACATCTAGTGCGATCTTCTGTATGATGTTCTTCTCTTCGTCTCTTCTCTCCCGGCTCTCTCAAGAGTTCTGGCCCTGTCTTTCCTGTTGACTGTGAGAAAGGATAGGGGGAGCTGAGGGGGCGGCTCTTGTCTCAGGCTTGATCCTGCCGAAAGTTGGCTGGAGTTGCACGTCCCCTCTGCTTTGCTTCAACATGACGTCAGACCTACAGTCAGGAAACTGAGAACCTAGACACGGACTGTTTATTTTTAGAGAAAGCCTCATCTGTGCATTGGTCCCCATGAATTCCATTATAAGAAATGTATTGCACAAACACAGAAACCTGGTATTTATCCAAAACCTTTTAATCCCCTCCATATGACTGTGCGTATGTCAGCACAAAAAGCTTTGTGAGTAAAACCAGATGTGCCCTACTTTTTTCCCCCCGCTTTCGTTTTTAACTTTCATTAGGAATATAAGTTTATTCAAAATTTGAAGAGATCATTTTTGAGGCATCATATATATTTTTTCAAAGTTTGGTCTCGCAACTTCTACCCAGTTACTTTTTAAAATTGTATTTTAAAAAGCTAATTCGGTTGATATATTTATCAGGGTTTTGTCTCACAACTTCCACCCAGTTAATTTTTAATATTTTATTTCCAAATTGAAGAGTGGATTTTCTGTTGCATCATTATATTTATCAAAGTTCTATCTCCCAAATTCCACCCGGTTACATTTTAATTATTGCATTTTATTTTTGCTACACAGAAAAGCTACTCTTCTTGCACCCACAGATATTTTTTAAATATTTTTTTCTTAATAAAAAGGCCAAATTTCTAATTCCTTATTTTATTTATCGAAATCTGGTCTCTTTTCACAACTTTTTTTCCAAATATTTTTATTTATTTATTTTCTTTTAATTATTTCAACCTGAATGCTAGTATTCTCTTCTTTTGTAAGGGCTGTTGTGTTGTCCTGCGTAAGCAATAATTAGTTTTCTCCTGGTTGACAATAAAGTGAATCTTGTTCCTTTATTACAATAACCAAATTGTCATTTAGTATTATTTCAGTGTAAAATAGCTAATTTTTCAAAGTAAGCATTTTGGACAACTGCTAAGACAGTTGTTTATCTAGTTGAAAGTGCCATTGTGGTCAGCACATGCCTGCAGCAGTGGCTGCTGTAATCTCAAGGGACTGCAAGCCGAAAAGAAAGTGTTGGACTTGAACTCCCTCCCCATGTTCCCCAGGACTGATCGGCCTATGCTTCCTTCCTGTTCATATTGTTATGGTTCATTTCCATATATCCTGCCCCTCTTCCAAGTTCCCAGAAAAAAAAAAGATGGCGCTACAGCTATAATTTAATACAGAGAAGAACAGCCTAGCGGATGTTTGAATAAACATAGATGGATGTGGAGTGTGTGTCTCTTGGGAAACACAAAGTCAAAGTCTTGAGGGCTCAGAGTGACTCAGAATTGGGTTTTAGGTCAACTCTGCAGTGGTGGTATCGCAATCTTCACAGGAAACTTGGCAGTCACGATAGGGGCTTTTAAATCAGAGACTCTTTTACAGTTGTTTACTAGCATTGGGAAATTCCACCCCACTTTAGTTGGGTGGGTTCAGGAGTTTTGGGGCTACATTTTTTCCTGTGGCTCAGTGGTAGAGCATTGCGTTAGCAGCGCAAAGGTCATGGGTTCAATTCCCAGGGAACACACATACTGCTAAAAAACGTATAGCCTGAATGCACTGCAAGTCGCTTTGGATAAAAGCGTCTGCTAAATGCATAACTTTAATTTAAATTAAAGTGGGAAAACAATAAACCCGCAGCAACAGCATTTCTTGAATCACCATTTGATCCCATTCCAATAACTTTATCATGCACACTTGAACAGATGATCTAATATTCCCTACTCTCTCTGTGTGTGTGTGTGTGTGTGTGTGTGTGTTAGAACATGTTATGGAGGAATGCTTAGACACACAATTTGAGGTCATGCTGTAGATTGCTTTCAGCATTTAATGCAGGAGACTGCAAAAGAATAGCTGTTGTGACATGTTTCAAAGTTAATCTATAATACAGTTCAACCTATTTTTATATAATTATTACATGCACTTTTATAACTTTGTATAAAATCTTGAAAAGCTAATTGCCCAATGCATCATTATATGTATCAGTTTTCTCAGTGTTCTGAACTGACATAATAGTTAATCTAAATCTATGTATAATTATTATACACTCATGTTTATAATTTGCTACATATTAATTTTGTAGGCCTAGTTGATTTAATTTTTTTACTTTATTTTTGCAGTTTTCATAAACCTAGATGGTAACAACATACCTCTTATATAGTGTTCTGCACTGTGACAGTTCATCAGTAATATACCGTAGTATAATTATTATACATGCACTTTTATAACACACACACACACACACACACACATATATATATATATACATATAGTTAATCTATAATATAGTTCAACCTATTTTTATATAATTATTGTGCATGTACTTTTATAACTGTATATACATTATGATATAATATAGTTAATCTAAATCGATGTATAATTATTATAGACTTGTATGACTTCATATTATGTAGTTGATTTAATTTATTTTATTTATGCGGTTTTCGTTGCGGTTTACTGCAATAACGCCAAAAAAGAAACGCTCAAATGAATAATTGACGTTGGAAATAGTGCCCTCTTGTGGCCAATTGCTGCAGTTCAAAATTCAAAGTTTTCAATATTCATTTGTCACACTGCAGGAGCGTTACATTTGATAGATGGATAGATAGATAGATTTTACATACACCCAGATATTCATGTCATATGTAGGATTTCTTTTTAATTTCAGCCTTTGTTCTCTTAAATGCTGTCCTCAATTTTGTAGTAATTTCATTTCCGTTTTAAACATTCCCAAAAATAATTAATTATTAGTACTACTACTACTACTACTAATAATAATAATAACTAGTACTCATTATTAGTTACTGCTTTGACAAAGCACAAGCTCGCGTAGAACTCGACTAAATGCGTGTAAAATGACGCCCTCTTGTGGTCAGTGGCTGCACTTCCGTCCGTGTTCCAGGAGGAGTCCAGCGTCACAGGAAATGACGAAGGCAAGAGTCAGCGGGCCAGTTTATGAAAGTCCCAGCAAAAGCGCGCGCAGTTACATTCAGAACCTCGAGAGCAGACAAGACGGGACAGATACGCCTGTGTTTCTTTTAGAGTCTTTGGATTTGTACGTGCTACTGCTAAAACACTTTTATAGTCTAAAAGTACTGCGTTCCTGCACTTGAAGACGAGCAGAAAGCCAGGCCGCGCTTGTGTCATAACAGGAATTAGATAACTTTTTTCCTCCTCTCATAAAAAAAGAAGCACAATGTTTGAGGCACGTCTCGTTCAAGGATCAATCCTTAAGAAGGTTCTGGAGGCTCTGAAAGACCTCATCACCGAAGCCTGCTGGGATGTCAGCTCCTCGGGGATCTCGCTGCAGAGCATGGATTCGTCTCATGTGTCTCTGGTGCAGCTCACGCTCCGGAGTGATGGGTTCGACTCCTACCGCTGCGACAGAAACCTGGCCATGGGTGTCAATTTGAGCAGGTACAGATGGAAATGATGCGAGTTTGGTGTTATTTGCCATGTAACCGCTTAGATCGTGAAAGCTGAACATGCCTGTTCATGCCCGGCTGCGCGAGGAGCCCGCCATTTGTAAGATGTAAATATGGGTTTTATTCCTTTCCCGATGATTAGTATTGTTGAAATGCTGTTTTAATGTATCCCGAATAATTGCAGTTCAAAAAGGTTTAGTATTATTTGGCGCGTAGAGTGTTTCCTGCATTCTTCCCTCACTGCTGAGCGTGACGTCATTTACCCGCGCTCAAGCTGGTTGGCGCGAAAAAGCCGGGTTGCCGAATGACAATATGACTTCATAATAACAATAAAAACTTCGTCAAAAAAGACGTGACCCAGATTTTTAACTGACAGTCAAATATTCGACTGTAATAATTGTTTTAAAAGGGAAACTGTTTTTTTTTTTGTAACAGCGTGGATTAATTTGATTCAGAATGCAATTCTATGTATGTTTCAATAAAAAGTGCCGAAACGTAGTGTTGTATTCTAATTATTTTATTCTTGTTTTCTAGCATGTCAAAGATTCTGAAGTGTGCAGGAAATGAAGATACCATCACACTTAGGGCTGAAGACAATGCGGACTCTTTGGCGCTTGTCTTTGAAACACTCAGTGAGTTCATAAGACTTTATTACACTAGTTGTTACATATTTAACCTAAAACTAGGCAAAAGAGCTGCAGTGCCTTATCTATTTTTTCTGGCTATAGTTTATTGATGGTGTGCTGTGAGTTATAATAGTAAGAGCACTTGCTGAACTTTGAATGTGTTTTCAGATCAGGAGAAAGTGTCCGACTATGAGATGAAACTGATGGATCTGGATGTGGAGCAGCTTGGCATTCCAGTAAGACTTATTTTACGAATACTGATATGAATGCATGTTTTTTTTTTTTTTGTGTTGCTTTTTTTTCTTATGTTTCATTATCTTTTTCACTTCAGGAGCAGGAATACAGCTGTGTGGTGAAGATGCCCTCTGGTGAATTTGCCCGAATCTGCAGGGATCTGTCACAGATCGGTGATGCTGTCATGATCTCTTGCGCCAAGGATGGTGTGAAGTTTTCTGCTAGTGGAGAGCTGGGCACAGGCAACATCAAGCTCTCACAGACCAGCAATGTCGACAAGGAGGATGAAGCGGTAACATTCTTTTAACATCGGCAAAATTACCAACAAATGTCAGGTGTGGCAGTTTTGTGAGTTTGTATGTCATGAAGGCAATTCACAGCGCTGTGTTCCCTACAGGTGACAGTTGAGATGAATGAGCCAGTGCAGCTTATCTTTGCATTGAACTACCTGAACTTTTTCACCAAGGCCACTCCTCTGTCCAAGACGGTCACGCTCAGCATGTCTGCAGACATTCCACTAGGTATGATAAATGCTCTCATGGCCATATTAATTTGCCTTTTGAGTTGAAACAATTTAAATGATTGTCCTTTTTTCTTTTGCAGTGGTTGAGTACAAGATTGCAGACATGGGACACATCAAATACTACCTGGCACCCAAGATTGATGAAGAATCGTCCTAAATCCAAGTACAAGACTGAAATCTTCGGCAGAATTTTGGTCTGCATATCAGAAATTATTTCAATAGATGTTTTGGGGAAATGCATTTTACTACTTTGTGTCTGCGGTGGTTTCCAGTTCAATGGATTCACAATTCTGTAACCATTTAAGCCATTTCATATGATTGGCAGATATATGGGCACACTTAAACGATGGTAGTTTGGTATTTGGCTTTACCAGATGATGTGGGCTGAATCTAGAGTTGTTACAGACAGCATGCACAGACTTACTAGGTTCAGTCTCGTTTTCTTGGTTTTTGTGCTCGTCTTCCTTCTTGACTCCACTTCAGGTTTTTGTCCAACTGCTCATTCCAGTGTGTAGATAATTCTGTAAATATGCTAATTGGACACTGTTCATCCAGTCAACCATTAATAAAACATTTTTGTAATGATGGTTCTCATCTGTTTCTATATTAGAAGCGTATTAGTGTGTTATGTGTAAGGCAGGTTAAAGAGATGGGTCTTTAATCTTAGGTCATAATGTACTTGATATTTAAAAGAAGGTTGTTTAAATGTTCTTAAATTATTGTTTTAAATATAAAACTTAATGTACTTGTAAAATGTAATGTTCTAAAAGTGTTGAGAATTCTGTTTGGAACAATGTGAACTTAGTTTGGCCACTAGAGAGAGCCAGAGTAGCAGAATTTACTGCAGTGTAATGTTTGCACAACCTTTTTTTTTTTTTATATATTTTTAGAACGATAATTTTTAACTTCTGTTTTGTAAAAATTAAAATTAGTCCTTTTTCTTGAGTAAGTCTCAGAAACAGCGTTCAAGAGGAACATTTCCATTCGTAAGACAAGGCTCTTTGCTTTTGAATGATGCTCAAGAAATTGGTTTGAGTCCAATCTTTCAGTGAATATTGAATCAGTTCTCAAAACCGATCTGGGAGAGGGGCCAATGGTTTCTTGGATCGACTTAGATTTGTAATATTGCTGAAAAACGCAACCCTGAAACGTTTGTTCATTATTCATTCCGCGCTGTTCTCGAGTCAATTCTCAGGCTTTTTGAATATTGTTCGATTTGTAATGATCAATGTACGAGTGAGCTGCAAGTAAAAGCAGTTTGGACTGTAATAAGACGTAATGAAAATGACAATGTGGACCTACAGTTATTATTTGGGACTTCACTAGGCATACGCGCCGAATCAGTTTTCAAAGAATCGATTCGCTATAATGAGTCGATCACTTGTAACATTTTGAATCAGTATCATCATCACAGCTTTGTGGGCGGTGGAAATTACATGGCCCCACAACGTGGTAAGTTTTTTTATTTTTATGCGCGGTTTCGTGGTTGTAGGCTTGCTGGCTGGGATATTTGAAGTTCTGAAGATTCCCAAAAGAGTCATTGCATAGGTATGGAGAGATTTTTTTTTTTTTACTTTTAAATCACGTTTATTATTAATTGCTTGTTGAAACTATGGGCTCATGTGCGGGGTTTAATGTTTTTATTCAATTTAAATATTTAACTTTTTTTCCAATAAAGTCACCATTAGATATCTGCAATCAAAAGAATTATTAGTTGTTTACAGTAAATACAGGTACAATTAAATATGCTTCTAGCAGTCCTTAAAAGGGTTAGTTCACCCAAAAATGAAAATGAGCCTGTGTTTTACTCACCCTCGAGGCATCCTAGGTGTATCTGACTTTCTTCTTTCAGACGAATCATATCGGAGTTATATTAAAAAGTGTCCTGGCTATTCAAAGCTCTATCATTGCAGTCAGCGGGTGTTTCTGTTCAACTGTCCACAAGTCGTCAAATAAAGTGCACGCATCCGTAATAAAACGTGCCTCACACGGCTCCGGGGATGAATAAAGGCCTCCTGTAGCGAATCCATGCATTTTCATGAGAAAAATATCCATATTTCAAACGTAATAAACACTGTTTTCTCACTTCCGGTATGTCGTACGCGGAAGCCGTTCCGGCGGAGGACGTCGGCGTAGCGTGATTAGTGACGAATGCGGAGAGAGAACAAAACAAAATGCCGGTCATGAATTAGAAGTAGAAACCAAGGACTTGTAAAGAAAAATGTCGGAGGATTTCGATATAAGCCAATAGGAGGCTGATTTTGCTTTGCTAAAGTAAGGAAACTTTGCTTCCTTTGCTCCTTATAAACAAACTCGCGAGACTAGCATATTTCAGAGGCGCGCGCTACGCATACGTCCTGCGTCATCCACCGCAACGGCTTCCGCGTATGACAGATAAGTGAGAGAAGTGTTTATTACTTTGAAATATGGATTTTTCTTATGAAAACGCATGGATTCGCTACAGGAGGCCTTTATTCACCCCCCGGAGCAGTGTGAGGCACGTTTTATTACGGATGCGTGCTCTTTATTTGACGACTTGTGGACAGTTGAACAGAAACACCCGCTGACTGCAATGATAGAGCTTGGAATAGCCAGGACAATTTTTTATATAACTCCGATATGATTCGTCTGAAAGAAGAAAGTCATATACACCTAGGATGCCTCGAGGGTGAGTAAAACACAGGCTAATTTTCATTTTTGGGTAAACTAACCCTTAGGCTACACAACTGTAACAACTGCAGACTAACCATAATAAAACATGCATTTAAAAAAAAGTTCTCCAATTATAGTTGCACACATATACACACACTTTATCTTACAAGATACTGCATTCTTTGATCTCCTTATGCTTCTTTTTATGACTGTGATGACTTGCTATGGCACTATTTTCCTGCATGTCAGAAATGAGCTCCAGAAGTTTTTTCACCTGATGATTGCCTTTCTCGTTGTTGTTAAATGCATAACATCTTGAATGGCAGGTTTTGATCAGTTCCTGAAGTTCTTTGTCGCTACCATTGATGTAATCAGTTAAAGTCTTGTGCTTCAGCTTCTCTTTACCCGTGAAAAGAATTACAGTCTTTAAAGTCACATCCTCACCAAACTCTCTCTTCAGATGTGAGAGAACCTCCCTCTCACCCTCTGTGAAACGGCCAAGCTGCATAACCAGCAAATACACATCAGGCCCTGGCTGAGCGAGCTCTTTGCACTTCTTTATCTGTTCTTCCTGGTTTTTAAGGTCTTCATTAAAGAAATCTGGGGTGTCTATAACCCTAATCCTCATTTCATAAACAGTTTCTTCTGCCATGTTGCACTCCTTTGTTACTGGCACAGAACTGGCATGTGATTCAAAATGTTGCTTTTTTAGGATAGTATTTCCTGTAGCACTCTTCCCACATCCTGTCTGTCCCAGCAGCACGATGGTCAAAGGTTTTTGTGGATGCATCTTAGCTGATGAGTTAGAATTAGTTAGAAGATACAGTCCATGCTAACAGTTTCAGTGTAAGGATACCAAACTATTGTTATCTACTAACAACATGTTACTTAAAATGTTTTCTAGTTGACAGGTTGAAGTCAAAGGCTTTGTTACCTGGTTCGTTTGGTGTCACCATTTTGTCATGCGTCCCTCTGGAACAGAAAGAGTGATTGATATTTGCAAGTTAATTAAATTCCTGCTGCTCATAACTATATCGCATACCTTTCTGATGTTTGGTTCTTGCTTTCGTTGTATTTCATCAGTTCTTTGATTAGTTCAGTGTTCTTCATGCGTTTGCTGTAAACACACAGTCTGTTTCCACATTCATTCAGGATTATGCTGTAGTCTTTTCTGAATGACAGTGGTGTGTCTATTGAATTTGAAGATACCTTTTTATCACTGTTAACCAGCACAATTGTTTGTTCAACCATTTTCTGACCGAGCTTTTTCTTTAATTCAGTAAACATCTCCATCTCTTCTGGTGACACCATTCTGTCCTGGAGTACGAGGAGGAACACACGAGGACCTGCGTATGATGGCTTCAGCTCCTCCATACTGTCAGCTTCTGGATCTGATGAGCTTGGTTTATGAAAAAGGTCAGGAGTGTTGATAATACAGACCTTCTTACCATCAACATTATCTACAATCTTCTCACAGCTGACCTTCTCTGATCGGAAATGATCTTTTTGAAAAATTGTGTTCCCTACAAGACACTTGTTGTTGCTTATCTTTCCCAGCAGGACCACTGTCATCATGTGCTTACTTCCAGATGTCAGACCGCTATTTGCTGTGATAAATTCAAACAAATTTTTGAAAACAACATACATCCTTCACAATATGAATGCAGAACATAGTTGTTTGTAGGACACAATTACTGGTAATTTGACATGGTGGTTTTCAACTGGTTTGGTGAAAGACCCAGATTTTACATTGGACATCAAGTGGTGACCCAACAATAATACCAAATCCGTAATTTCTATTTAATATAGTCAGGTCATATGTTCCTAGTTTCGATGATGAGGGCATGTCACCAATATGCTGATGTCTATATATGCCAAATTGTTGAACACACACTCTTCGATAGCATTTATGTTGTTATCATATGTTACTCTACATGGTGAGTTATCATGGCATTATCCTTTTTCGCATTTAGCATGTTTTTGGCCCTCAGCTGTCTGCAACCCTATCAGAACATACCACCTGATAACTGTTGATTTATCAGACACTTTTCATCATGATTGTGCACGTTTGGTAAATTGTAAACTTTTGTGAACAGCCCAGATCCTTGATCTTTTCATTCTTCTTGTGGTTAAATAGGATATAAGGTGCATTACCCTAATGCAGGATATAAGGTGCATTACCCATTACCCTAATGCTAAGTAAGTATACTACAAATAAATTTTATATTTAATATAATATATTTATATATATAATATAAATAATATATTTAATAAAATGTCCTGCAACTGTACTTTTAGTATACTAAACTGGTATACTTAAAATCTGCTAAATTGGAACAACTAATATTGTACTTAATGCACTTTAATTGCGCAGAAGTAGTGCTGAAGTACAATTAAATATATACTTTAGTATATTTTATTGTGTTAAAGTGGAACTATTGCAAGTATACTTCAGGTACACATGAAATATTTTGCATTTAAAGTCTTGATATTATTCAAAAATCATACAATCCTCATCAATAGTGACATTAAAACTATATTTTAGACTTAATATTAAGAAAAGTGCATTGTGCACAAATAATATGCCAAGTAAAGTTTAATTATAATTTTTATATCAGTAAGTCTTGAGTTATCTGTCAGTAAATATGTTAATAGATTTGAACTATACTTAGTATGAAATAAATGCATTTTAAATGTATACATTTTTTACTAGGGTATTTCTTACAAATTTAACGAAGAAAAAAAAAACATTAAACATGCAAACATTCTCAATTCATTGAGAAAATACACCTCTGTGGTTGCTGGAAGCAATGTTCAAAACCCATTGCGACACAAAATGCGAGCCAAAACATTGGCTGACTAGCCAGTTATAGTTGTGGTGAATTGAGATCACTTGACTAGTTTGGATTGATGTGAAAGCCACATAAGAAAAAAAAAACAGCATGTTGATTTGATCATATTCTTTTAGATGACAGAGAAAAGTTAGATGACTGAGAAATTTGTAAGATATACCTTTGCTGTTTTCAGACACCCATGACGCTTCATTTATTTGCTTCATTTCTACATATGATACATCAATCTCCTCATATATCCTACAGGATTGAGATGATGTTACAGGTTAAATTATGAGCTGAAATTTTTTTTTTCTTTTTTAATTGATTTAATCACTACTGTCATACGCGTGTCTTACCTCTCAGCAAGTGCGGAGTTGCTTAATTCTTTAACCTGCTTTTCATGTATTCTTTTCCATTCTTTCACTACCTGTATGGTCAGCTCATTATCTTTTTTCTTGTCATGAACACAAATTCTCTGTCCACACTCGTCTAGTAGTTTTTTGAGATTCTCATCCGCTTGATCATATAGTTCTCCAGACATTTTCTCCTGACTGTCAACTAGCACTACAATTGTATTTTCCACCATTTTCTCTCCAAATCTCACTTTCAGCTGACTGAACATCTCCATCTCTTCGTGTGAGAGCTGTTTGTTCTGCAGTACCAGAAGAAAAGCATGTGGCCCTGGATATAGGGTTTTTATCTCCTCTATATTGTCAGTTTCTCGATCTGAGTGCGATCTATGGAAGAGGTCTGGAGTGTTGATGATACAGACCATCTGATTATCTACTCTTTCTTCAGCTCTTGTACATGTGTCGTTTCCAGCTATGAAACGGTTTACCTTTAGTATGGCATTGCCTATCATAGACTTATTGCTGTTCTTTCCCAGTAGCACCAAAGTGATCTTGTCACCTCCACCAGATTGCTCCACCTTTGCATTCTCCACTATAACAAATCACAAGAGTAACTCGTAGCTTTTTGAAATCTAGCCATAAGAAAACTATACTTTGGTTTATTATGATAACTTTAATTCACAATCTTTACAACATTAATTTGCAATTCACATATATTTGAGAAGAAATCCCTTTCTGTAATCTTGTGATTTAATCAACAATTTTACAAAAAATAAATTTGCTAAAATGTATTTAATAAAAGGCTTACTTACGTTGTAACATGCTGACTTGTATTACAAGAAACAGTCGAACGTGTCTCTAGCACTCAGTGACAGTTCGTTGTAAGTAAATGAAAGTGAAAAATACACTTGTCTTAAATGCATGAGAACAAAGGGCTTGTCCAAAATCTGGTATAACACGTTGAGTCACTAGTATGCTAGATAACAGCTGCTCTTGGCTTTTTGTTTCTTCATTGCATGTTTTGTAAAAATGTTTGTCTTAATGCAGTAATCTAGAATCTGTATCATTTAGTTGGGCTTTGAATAACTGTGGATAATGAGTAAAATTGGCTAAAGGAAACACTTAATAATTTATGCTGTTTGTACTAAAGGTAAAACATCCAAGCAATGGTGGGTCGAACTAGTGAAAATAGCTTTTGGCATTTACACACATAAGTTTACCGAACTCCAGTTTTTTTTTTACTGGAAACTCTAGCAAAGAATATATTTGAACAGTGATTTAATTCAGATTCATGATAGTAGTAAGATTGCATGATGGAATTGTAGGCGGTTGTGTTACATATGTTTATTGCACCATCATTTGGTTACACATAGACATTACACTGATTATAACTCTTCTATATGTATTCAACAAAATCCGTTTTATGGCACAATTTCAGTCAAACACTGAGCTGATTTGTGACTGATATATTCAGTTTCTCTCAGATTCCTGCTTATCCTGCATGTTGTTCTTTTGACCTATAAGTTGTTTGACCAGCTCAGTGCTTTTCACATTACTCCTGTAAACATAAATTGTCTCCTTGCACTCATCTAGAATCTTTTTGAGAGTCTTATGAGCTTCAAAGGTCTCTCAAGTTATTTTCAATGCTACCTATGAGCACAACAAGCATGTTTTCAAGCAGTTTCTTTCCAAATCTCTCCTTCAGTTGGGCAAACATCTCCATCTCTGCCTTTGAGAGAGTTTTGTCCTGCAGTACCATGATGAACATACGTGGACCTGCGTATGATGGCTTCATCTCCTCCATACTGTCAGCTATTGGATCTGGGCCCGGTTTATGGAAAAGGTCAGGGGTACTCACAATACAGACAATCTGATCGGCTACTCTAGCCACAACCCTCTCACATGTGGCTTTTCCAGCGATGAAACAGTCATGCTGGAGAATACTGTTCCCTATCAGGCACTTGTCATCGCTGTTCACTCCCAGGAGCACCATGGTGATGATCTTGCAGTCACCTCCAAATAGCTTGACATTCACACCCTCCCCTTATGAAAAAAATTTTTTTTTTGGAATGAACCATTTTTCAATTTATTATTAATATTTTATTTTATTCGTTTTTTTGAAAGAAGTGGTCACCAAGGCTGCATTTGTTTCAACTGTAAAATAAAACCAGCAGTTTTGTAAAATATTACAATTTAAAAGAGGGGTTTTCTATTTCAGCATATTTTAAAATGGAATTTGTTTTGTTGATGGCAAAGCTAAATTTGTCAAATGATCCTAAAATTGTATTTATTTTTTTAATTCTCAATGTTCAAAACAGTTGTGCTTAACAGTGCTGCTTAATATTTTTAAGGAAACTGATATGTTTTTTTCAAGTTTGTTTGAGGCGTAAAAAGCTCAAACAATCAGCATTTATTTGAAATGGAAATCTGTAAAAGTCTTTACTGTGAATTTTGGATCAATTTGATTATACTTTTAATACAGCATTGTTGAAAATATTAATTGCTTTTCAAGAAAAAAAAAACATACTGACCATGAACATTTGAATGTAAGTTTACTTTCATAAAAAACATTTTCAGTGCAGCAGAGTTGGCCTAGATTCTAGAATATTAATCATTTCAGATAATTAAACATAAGTAAGCATTACCTGACATTGTCGGTTGTTCTGTCTCATCTTTTTCCTTCTGATGAACATGCTTGTTCATGTCTTCATGTAGGATAATGATGAACTTTAGGGAAAAAGACAGAAATCAGCTTTGTGAACAATGCACGAAACAATACCAAATGTTTTCCATTTGTAGAAGTCTACCTGCCAGGATCAACTTTTTAGTAATATGTAACAAAAGCTGTCTGACCAGATCTGAGTCTGCCGTATCTTGTTGTCGATCAACACTACAGTAATATTTTTTTTGTCATTTTCTCTCCAACTCTCTCCTTCAATCATCTCCATCTCTTCCTGGGAGAGCTGTTTATCATGGAGTACCAGGAGGAACATGCGTGGTCCTGTGTATGATGGCTTCATCTCCTCTATAGTGTTAGCTTCTGGTTCTTGGCATAGTCTCCAGAAAAGGTCTGGGGTGTTTATAATGTAGAGCAGCTCGTCTGGAAAAATGGTTTTCTCCCAATTAAATGTAATAGATCATTTTGAAGTAAAATATAGATACTGGCAGAGAATATAAAGAATGTTCAGACATTAGCAAAAGAACAAAATCTTTAAAAAGCTGGTCAAAAACTCAAACTAACAACTGTATTTGACCTTTTGGCTTGTTGAATTTCCAGTATGTTCACCAGGTTTCAAGAAACACCTCTGGTTATATGTCGTGAGGCGAAGCAGGAAAATAGTGATTAAGTGAAAGTAAAAGCTAGCTTTGTACAAATGCAAAAATAAAACAAATAAAACAACAGGTGGAGTCACAAAAAAATCTGGTACTAATAGGGTCACGCAAAAAATAGTTTCAGTCGTTGTCAAGAGAAACTGTTGCTGAAGGAAATGGACTGTTTAAGCAAATGTTGTCTCCGCTCTTCTTCTATTCCGCGAGGTAGGTTGTGTGCAAAAATTTTTGACTGGGGTTGTTGATAACACTTTATTTTGATGGTCCCTTTTGAGCATTCTGTTGACAACAAGTAACTTTGCACCTACATGTCAACTAACTCTCATTAGAGTATTAGTAGACTGTCTGATTAATATCTGCTAACTCTTTATTGTCATGGTCTCCCAACAGACATTCTACTGACTATAAGTAACTTTGCAAGTACATGTCATTATTCCAACCCTAACCCTACCAGTCTACTAATACTCTACTAACACTCTAATGAGAGTTAGTAGAGATGTTGGTGCAATGTTACTTATAGTCAACAGAATGTGTTAAAGGGACCATCAAAATAAAATGAAATCGGGCTGTTTAGTTTGGTTTCTAGTAACTGCTGAAAGCTCATTACTGCTCAAACATTTATCATGTTTGAATAGTTTAGATTTTTTTTTTGAGTAAATGGAGAGTGTCTAATGTCTAAAGTCTGTCTGTTTTTGAAAAAAAAAAAAAACATAAAATATGCATAAAAATACAATAGTAAGTTAACTTCAACCAAAGCTGAAAGTCAAATAAGTGTGATACGATTATTAATACAGTTGGGAGGATTTATTAATGAGTATTAATATGTGATGAGTATGTAACTCATATAGTTTTGATGAACATCAAAAATTATTTTTGAATGGATTTGCATCATAAAGCGTGTGCTTTAATATGATATGATATAATGGGCCAGGCTTAAAATGCAAATCTCAGTTTTATACAATGTCTCAGGCATCCCCTACTCTGTCTTCGTATCCACCAAGGCAGTTGAATCAGTCTGTACATGTTTCATTATCTATTTTTTTTTCATCCTTTGCTGTTTTTATAGGTCCACGACTTCGCATAGTATTGATTGGAAAAACTGGAGTGGGAAAAAGTGCTGTGGGAAACACTATCCTTTGCAGAAAGGTTTTTGAATCAAACCCTTCTGCAAACTCTGTCACTGAGCGGTGCAAAAAAGCAATGGTCTGTGACCAAAGAGAGATTTATGTGATTGACACACCTGGAATCTTGGATACCAGCATATCAAAAGACCTCATCAAAAGAGAAATAGTGAAATGTATACAGGTCTCAGCACCAGGTCCTCACGTGTTCCTGCTGGTGATACAAATTGGCCGTTTCACTACTGAGGAACAAAGATCAGTCCAGGCCCTGCAAGAGCTCTTTGGAAAAGAAGCTTCAAAATACACGATAGTGGTCTTCACTCATGGAGATGCACTCCGTGATCAAACAGTTGAAGACTATGTGAAAACCGGCCATGCAGAACTCCGTAGAGTGATCCAGAGTTGTGGTAGTAGATATGTTGTTTTTGATAACAATGACGTGACGAATCGAGTTCAAGTGAGGAGATTAATTGAGAAAATTGATGAAATGCTGGCAGCAAATGGGGGAGAATGCTTCACTCAGGAAATGTTTAAAGAAGCAGAAGAAAAGATTCAGCAACAGAAAGTGGAGAGAGCGGTCGCAGAGCTTCTAGAATATCAGTTTAGCTTTCTTGGGATTCTTGACAGCAGAGTTGCTTTGTTCCAACAAGTATTGATGGAGGGCCTTTATGAACAGGCCACTCTTGATAGCGGCACGTATGGTTATTAAAGAGTTATTAAACTTAAACGAGACATCTTAGAAAGATGTGTAATATGAAAGCTACTTCTGAACATAAACACAACTCATTTATGTGATGTTACACAGTGGTGGAATATGATGTTATTTTAATTTGACTGTGCAGCACATAGCAGAATGAATAATTATATATGGAATCTTGTTAATCTAATATGAAGGCACTGTATTCTGTAGCACTTTTTGGTTTTTGAATTGTTTTCAGAGACTTCAATGTATTGTGATACATTAGATTACCAGTTAATTATATGCCTGATGTACTGTAATTATAATATGTTTAGATTTTATAAAAAATAAATTGTCTTTACTACTGTAGACATAAATGTATCACTGTCTTTACCATTCTTTCTTCTCGAAGATTACATTTCTTCAGAGTAATCTGTATAACAGTAGTTTTTCCATTGTATTTTAAGGTACGCTAAGAATCAGTCATCCTTTGTATATAAATGTAAAATTGTTAAATACAAGTAAAATGTTTATACTGTGAAAGCAAGAGCTCTGGATGTTTTTAAATGTAATGTGTTTGCACATCCCTTTTTGACCATTAAAAATAAATCACAGATTAAAAAAACAACAACAACAAAAAAACATGATTTTTTAAAGCAATAATATCTAAGGATTTTTTTTGGCTTTTGACTGGCTAGAAAATGTGCATTTGTACATTTATGCATTTGCTAGAGTTTTTAACCAAAACAGCTTAATTTGCATTCAAGATGTTTTTATTCAGGATTTTTTTTTTTTTATCATGTCATTCTTTTGGTTTACTATGTGAGCAACATGAATGCATTTAACATTTTGAGTTTCCCCAGGAATTTTCTGTTAGTTCTTAGAAAACAGGTTTTTAACCTTTGTGCTGTGCTGAAAATCCTTTTTTTAAATTACTGGCAAATCTCTTATTCTGCTATATTATGACCAAATCTTGGATTCAGTGTTTTTGTCAAATTGTTTTCTTTCAATTATTGCAGGATTTCTTTTGGAACTGGTTGATTGTATGCCTCATTGATCTGAGCTTATTAATTTATAATTAAATAATAATGAATTTAATTTAATTAATTTAATTTAATTAATAAATAATTTAATAATTTATTAAAGCTTATTCACTTCACATCAGTTTTTGGGTGACAGTATTAGTGGATGATTTTGGATAAATTAAATATTTTGTAATAATATAGCATAATGAAAAATTATAAGAAAAGCACAAAAGAAGATAATCGTGATTTTAACAGTAAAAGACTGTAAAAATGCTACAGTAAAAACACATTAAATGGTTAACAGCAAGTTTCCATACTATATACGGTGAATAACTGTAATAAAATTTTAATGTATAATGGGGTTTTATCTTACATCTAATGTTGTTAAATTAATGTTTATTGTACTATTTCAGTATCATGTGTGTTACCATGATGGTGTTTAGTGTTTGTGTGAATGACACTGCACCATATATAAGTATTTTCCTCCTCAGCTTGTAGAAAAGCTGTTTATGATCAACTTTGATTCATCATGTGACTTTCTCATCATCACTTGTTTTTGGTGGTTGTCAATGGTTAAAAACAGATATTAGTACTTAAATATGTTGGTATATTAACATTACATCAATGGAATACAGGGTTTTATTGTGAAAACGTCTGTAAAACCTAAAATGTGGCTACCATATTTTTTATGGTGAATGTCTGGCAACTACATCTACCGGTATTTTACTGTAAATGTCACAGATTTTAATTTACATTTTTTTACAGAGAACAGTTGATGACATTGACTTCTAGTATTTTTGTCTATGCTATGGAATTAAATAGGGACCATCAACTTTTTTTTTCCACGTTCTTCAAAATATCTTCTATTGTGTTCAGCACAAGAAAGAAACTCATACAGGTTTGGAACAACTTATGGTATGATTATGTAAACTATGTTCTAGAACACAAACAAGAAACCCCGCTGAGCATAACAACAATCAGAAAAGGAAACAGTACACCTGTATTTCTTCTCTGCTGATCAGGCAGGATGTTTTTCAGAAGGAAGAAATTCTTCAGTGTTTTTCTTACAAGGAAGAAATTCTGTTTTTTCTCAAAAGGAATATTAATTATAGGCAGAGTTAACCAGTCAAACTCTTGCCGCCAGCATAAAAGGAAAAAAAACAAAAAACTTTGTAACTTGAAACATCGCAAACATGTATGCAGACTTGTGGGACCACATTATCTAAAGATTTTACCTCTGACTAATACATGAAAATGGTATTTTGATGTGCAAAAAGGATGAAATTTTTTTCTATGCCATTCATAGTACTGAGTTTCAGTTTTTTGTTTGTTGACCTAGTTGTTTCGGTAACACTTTATTTTAGGGTCTCTTAACTAGTTGCTTATTAGTATGAATATTACTAGAATATTAGCCATTTATTAGTACTAATTAAGCATATATCAATGCCTTATTCTACATGATCTTATTCTACATCCCTAATCCTTCCCAATACCTAAACTTAACAACTACCTTACTAACTATTAATAAGCAGCAAATTAGGAATTTATTGAGGGAAAAGTCGTAGTTAATAGTGAATAAGTGTTCCCTATATGAAACGGAAGTGCACGAATAGCATTTTTGAATAAAATACATATCTTTATTTGTACTTACACTTGATAATACATGCAACATAACACTGATGTACTGTGTATTATTTGATTGTAACAAAAATGAATTCATGTTTTTTAAATCACACTACTAGCACAGAACAAAAGACAGTGAATCAGTTGCCAGTGTCTACTGAATTCTGCAGTCTTTTTTCTCTGATTCCTTACAAAATGAGTAGTGTTCTATGTCAGTATTTCCATTTTTCTTCTTCATTTCCAAAATCATCTCTAATAGCCTTTCAACCTGTGAAACATTGTGGTCATTGTTGTTAAATGCATGACACCTTGACCCACAGGTTCTGATCAGCTCTCGCAGCTGTGTGTCAGTGTTATTAATGTACTCTGCTACAGTTTTCCCTCTTAATTTCTCCATGCTAGTAAACAGAACAGTGGTTTCTTTTACCACTTCTGCACCAAACGCTCTTTGTATGTTCTGAACTATTTCTCTCTCCCCATCTGTGTAACGGCCAAGCTCCATCACCAGTAAATACACATCAGGCCCTGGCTTAGTGAGCTCTTTGCACTTCTTTATCTGTTCTTGTTGGTTTTTTAGATCTTCATCAAAGAAATCTGGGGTGTCAATGACCCTGATTTTGATTCCACAAACAGTTTCCTCTGCTGTCTGGCACACCTGTGTTACTGGCACAGAACTGGCATATGATTCAAAATGATGCTTTCTTAGGATGGTGTTTCCAGTAGCACTCTTTCCACTTCCTGTCTGTCCCAGAAGCACGATGGTCAAGGTGTTTTTCTTCTTGATAGCAGCTTGGTTACCTCCATAAATATAAGATAAGATAAAATGCTGCATGTCAAAAGAAATTGACTGAATTGATTATTTTATTGCACAATACAATCATTTTAATTTAAGTTTGGTTTAAACTGCATCCTATCTGCTCTAATAAAAACTTGGGCCTTTTTAGATATAGATTTTCCTGGTTTGTACACTTAGTGTCATTTTTTTCATCCAGTACTTTTTTTTCCATCCTCATCTGAGATCTTGGTACCATCATCATGTCACATCAGTTAAAATCTCCCGTCTAAAGTCTTTCTATGTCCACCTCATGGAGAATGTGTTGGCCTACATACAATATCTAAAATGACTTTACTGGTTCAAAGTTCCAAGCCAGTTAAAATGTAAACATTTTGTGTGAACTATTGAACTGATTTAAATATTACCAAGGCAAAGGCATTTAGCCAGAAACTTATTGATGCTGCGAGAAAGACTTGGAAGTATCAAACAAAATGGTAATTGTTGACCATCTCCACTCATTACGTGAAAAATGCTCCTCTAGAAAGTCTAGAAAATTATTTTAGTGTGGATAAAGCTTTCTTTCTTTGATAGAAATGCATATTATACTATATAAATGAAGTTTATGTTTTGGTTATCATCTTATTTTATAATGTAGAATTATAGGCTATAATACTATAATGGATGTTACCTGATATATGCTTTTGTGCCATTGCTTCCTGTGGTCTCCATGTCTCCCTTTCCACAGACGTGGAATAGTTTCCCCCATTGGTATTATTATGAATTCTACCTGATATATGCTCTTGTGTCATTGCTTCCTGTGGTTTCCAGATCTCCCTTTCCACAGACATGGTTGAGCTGCAGTTGAGGAGAAAATGAATTAATCGATATATACGTTGTCTCTGGAATGGATACAATCATGAGGATAAACGTAGATTTTTAGTCTTACCTTTCATGCTCGTACATGTGCAACTCAGGCACACTCTTCCAACATGTAGTCAGCTGTTTGATGAAGTCGCTTTGCTTCAGATTGTTGTTAAAATCACACACTTTCCTTCCACTTTGATGGAGAACCTTTTCCAGGTGTTCGTTTGTTACTTTGTTTGGCCTTGATGATGTCTTAGCATCGCCACTGACCAGAACTACAACAGTATTTTCCTCCATTTTCTTTCCGAACATCAGCTGAAAATGTGCAAATATTTCTACATCCCTCTGAGAAACATGGCCACGTTGCAGAACAAATAAAATCATACATGGACTCCTAGATGATGTCTCCACATACCTCTTAATTACAGTTAGAGGCTCATTAATAACAGTAATCCATTGGTCACCTATCTGCAGTGATACCTCTTCATCAAATGTGGATTTCTTAGGCAGGAAATGTTCAAACCCAAGAATATTATTTCCCACCAGACACTTACACCAGCTGTTTGCACCCAGCAGAAAAAATGTCCCCACAGAACTCTTCAGTGTGGCCATCTCCTGTAAAGAAGTCCACAAAAGCATTTGTTAAGATTAGTTAATGCATACCTGATTGGCTAACATGAATTAATGAGCAACATTTTTAGTTCAAAATACATTTACATTAAAATATGTGTTCCCTTGGAATCAGAACTAAGACACTGCTAGATTGCTTGTACCACCAGTTAAGTTAAAGCTGAGCTCTAAATCACAACTCTACACAATTTTAGATAACATCAGTGAGCCTCTGAAACATGCTCAAATGTATAAATGTTTCAAAGATTCTCACTATTGAGCCTTAGCTATGTAAAATTAAAACATTTTAGAAGCTTACCTTTTGACATCAGCATAAAGTTTCAAAATATTTCACACAAAAAAAGCAGACAAAACTTCAGACATATTTTTTTAAAGATAATTTCTGGTAAGCGTTTGCAGTAACTGAAAGTGAAAATCCAGTGAGGATTTTTTTGAACACTGAAAAGGGTGGATCACCATAATCACCTCTGAATACTTACTAAACTCACTATACACTGAGAGTTACATTATGTGTGTGTATACACACATATAAGAGTATAGATGTGTATAGAAAAGTAAGAGAGAGAGTGTGTGAGAGAAAGCAGCATCGAAGTGAACATCACTTAAGCATTTGATTTATTTACAATCTTCCATTTCAGGTACAAAGTTAATTAAAAAGTTGTAGGCTATGTAAAGTGTCTGTACGGTCTATTGTTTTGTTTTTGTTTAGTTTTTTTTCCCCCATAAAATGTAGAAAAAATGCTTGATGTGAATTTACATTTTTGGGTGAACTATCACAGTACTATGAGGTGAATCTTGTCATTTCTGTGCCACTGGTGGTGAAAATGTTATTGCACAAATAATTATAGTTTCTAGTTTTCTGAGCTAGAAATGTTCATGCCTAAAAGCAGTTCAGTGTGTTGAGAGCACCATGAACCCACAGTGTTTTTAATTTCTAATTTATATTTGTCTCTATCAAGTGTGCCTCACACATCATGAAAGTAAAGCCAAAACATTTTGCTCGCCCCCTGGTGGCTAGTTGCAGTATATGTCATAAACACCACCGTCTCCATATACTGTACTGTAAACAAATGGCACGTTAGCCAAACTAAAAAATACCTTTTTTTTTATATAGTCTCTATAGTCTATAGTCTCTATATTTAGAACTGTGATAGAAATATTTTACCATCAGAAAAAAAAAATGCACCCTTCCCTTTAAAGGGGTCATATGATGTAATGTTCTTTTTAGCAGCATCATATGACCCCTTTAAAACAAAATAGTTATTATAGTAAATATGCATGCTTCTATGCTCAGCTATTAAATATTTAGGGCCAGATTTACTAACAGTTTATTAACAAATTTTCACTCCTATCAGTGGTTTTATGGGATTGCAATTTGCCATGTTTAATACATCTTACCTTTAATTGTATATATTATGCTCTTTGTGATCTCTTTGAAATGATTTTTAAAATCATTATTTAGTCTTCCGAATAATTGAGGAATTCATGGAAATTAATAAAATGTTAAGATTCATGGTAAATATACACCGATCAGCTACATTAAGTCTTAAAACTTGCTTAAAGGGATAGTTCACCCAAAAATGAAAATTTGATGTTTATCTGCTTACCCCCAGGGCATCCAAGATGTAGATGACTTTGTTTCTTCAGTAGAACACATATGATGATTTTTAAGTCCAACCGTTGCAGTCTATCAGTCTTATAATGCATGGCAATGGTAACAAAGTCTTATGCTGCTGCTGGAAGAAGCCGCCGCCCCTCGCGCCCCGGACCGGAGAGGGGAGCACGTGCGGCCACCAGACTCCGCCCCTTACCTGGACCCTTCCTTCCTGACCACTGCCCTTCCCTTCATGAACCCCGCAGCACGACGAGGACACCAGATCCCCTGTTTATTTTGGACACTTGATTCCCTTTTTTCTGGACACTTTGTTTATTTTCTGTTAATAAACGGTGTCTGTCGTTTGCTCCTCCCGCGACAACACACCCATTAACGTAAACTACGCCAGAGCGCGTACACACCTCACGCACCGGATGCCGTGCGCGCGCTCAAGGCAGTTGGACATAGTGGTGTATTAGAGGTAAAAAATGATATAAATACTGTTCGGTTTCTGGCTCAAACCGATCGTTTTGTGTGTTAGGACATCAATGTGTCGTCAGGAGCCGCAGGGTTTAATTTGGATTTGTCTGTGCATGTTTTTTTTACACTCATAGACTTTGTTACCATTGCCATGCATTATAAGACTGATGGACTCAAACGGTTGGACTTAAAAATCATCAAATGTGTTCTACTGAAGAAACAAAGTCATCTACATCTTGGATGCCCTGGGGATAAGCAGATAAACATGAAATTTTCATTTTTGGATGAACTATCCCTTTAATATGATGTGGGTCCTACTTGTGATGCCAAAACAGCTCTGATGCGTCTAGACATGGAATCCACAAAACCTCCAAATGTTTCCTGTTGTATCTGGCACCAAGACAGTGGCAGCAGATCCTTTCAATTGCAATTTGTGAGATTGGGCTCCATGGATTGAATTTGTTGGTCCGGCACTTTCCATAGATGCTGAATTGGATTGAAATAAAATGCAATCTTCAGTTGTAAACAAATGCCACAATTTGTTGTGCAGATAAGCCTGCACTTTGATTGTTTATCTATTATGTTCTGTGGATTGACTTTTAACTCAACATCTGTTACTGTCACTCCCGATTTATTCCACTGTTAGGTATTTGACTGGTCATGTGACCCCAGTTTACCCAATGAAAGGTGGCCTGCCATATGTTGAATAAAAATGTGTAGGCTAGTGATATGACGAGAGCGCTGTTTAAATTTAATTTATTTATCAATATATATATATTTTTTTTTCAAAAGTAGTAATACTCTTTTCTTTTAATATAAAACCTTTGAAGTTGACCAAATCAATTAGTATACCAAGCGAGTCTGCCTTTAGGGGGAGCTCTCGCGACAGGTTTACTCCCCTCAAGCGCAAGGACAGCATGTATGAGGGGAGCATCGCCTCAGCGTTTGGTTAATTATAATCTCCCATTTCAGGATGAAAGTTCTTGAGAAAACTTTATACAGTCAAAATTCATGTATATTTATAAACGCACACGAATGTTAATTAGCGAGCTTTGGACATTTGACTGACCGACCTATTCCTTGTCAAAGGAGTCACGAACTCATGGGCGGTGTAACTTGTTACACCTGAAGGTTACTTGATGGTTTTTGTCAAAGGTAGGCTACTATTAGTTTCGCTAACTTTAAAACTTTTAACTGGACAAGAATAATTTAATGCATATTTAAGGGCCTTTCGTCTGGCAATACGGGGAGCTCACGCGACTGGTTTAGATTTAGGGCGAACGCAGCAATATTACCTGAGGGGGACATTTTGGGGATTTGGTTTCTAAATCTCCTATTTTACGAACAAAGCTCTTTAAAGCAGTTTAACGTGAAAACTAGTCTATGTATTTGTAAACATTAAAGAATGCCATCCAGCGTATATTGAACCCTTGTTGTTTTGTCTGACTGACCGAGCCTTGTAGTTGTCGCATGCTCCATGGATGGTGTAATATTCTTAAAGTGCAATATTAATAGGCTAAACATTTTGTGCGTATAAAAATGTGTAAGTTTTATTTACTCATAAATTCAAATTATACAAATGACACTGTACTCTAGAAAACATTGTGTTGCACATTATGAATTCTCTTATGTGCAAGACTTTTTGTTGAAGAACTCATGCTTGAGTTTCTAATATATTTGGTAATTATTTTCCCTCTTTTGTGACTTCAGCAACAGGCCTTCATGAGATCTTTCGAACGAAAGCTTCAGTGATCTTGAAGAACACCACAGAACTCAAGAGATGACCGACCACCATAGACCACTGTAAACCAACAAATAAAGTAAGGACAATTTTAAATCAAAGGGATAGTTTGATCACCCAAAAACTGAAATTCAGTTATCATTTATGCACACTCATGATGTTCTAAATCTGTATAACTTTATTTCTACCGGAGAACAAAAACCCTTAATTTATATTTGTCTCTATCATGGGTGCTTCTCAAACAGAAGGCTGCATCCTACCAGTGGCGGCTCGTGGGTTTTAAAATAGAGGATGCACACTAATTGTATTGGTCTGGGATCCCTGCCGATTATTATTATTATTTGCTTAACCACTTTAAAATGGCTTTTTGGTTGCTTTTAGTCAGAAAACGTAAAGAAAACGACATACATACAGCAAGATAATATAATTTCACTTACCTGGCCTATCACTTGAAGCAAACATCCATCCCTTCTTAAAAGTCTGTGTTAAAAGAGCCGACTGCTGTAATGTTAGCCTATATCTAGCTTAGGTGTGTTCTCCCTTTTTTTAAAATTTGTATATATACTGTTTGAATGACAGCTTGGTAAATCTGTTGGCGATCAAATATTCAATATCGCTACTCATAAGTACTTGGTACATTATCAGCGCAGCGGGAGACGTTCAAACTAATATCAAGTAATTTACATCTCTATGATGATTGGTTGATATATCAGAAGGGAGGCTAGCATCCCCTACGAGGTTTCTTTTCGCAACACTCCTCAGCGCTGAAAGTGAACACTCGATGGTGATTGGCTAATTTTTTATTCACGAGAGCTCAGCTCTCCCCCCGGCCTCCCCCTCCCCTTTTACATCAGCAGATTCGGTACATTCGCGATAGAAAAGCGGCGCTTTCCAACTTCAGTAACATGTTATGGTATTACAGCTGTGAAATTACAAACAAAAAATACACATTCTGAGACATGAACTGAAATTAATTGTGAATTTTATTAACATTAAATCATCGTCCTCCTATTTTCACCTCAAAAATTTGGGGAAGCTGTGCCTCCCCCGACAAGCCACTGCATCCTACTGAGGTTGCATCCTTCCTAGTTCAGTCCTTCAGAGTCTTGTAGGCTAGACTCCTCCTCGACATTAAACACTAGAATGAGACAGTCTAGTAAGTGCGTG